TGTACTTACTACTTGTACTACTATTCCTACTTCACTGTTTGTCACTTGTAGCGGAGATTAAGGGTACCGGTCCCCCACGATAAACGAGGGACTACTGTAAACAAAATTAAAATCAATAGGCATAATAGGCATAGGAGGTTCATTCTTCTTAAGCAAAAAAAAATAAATATCTGTTTCACACTGTGATGGACTTGCGACCTGTCCAGGGTGTACCCCGCCCCTTGCATGCTGATAGCTGGACATGGGCACCGGCGACCTTCGTGACCCAAAATGGAAGAAGCGGGTAAAAGATAATGGATGGATGGATGGATGGATGGATGGATGGATGGATGGATGGATGTTTCACTCACATATCCAGGTGGTTTGACCCAACCTGCCGGTACATCAGTGAAGAAAGTTTGAGAACCAGCTGGTCTATGTCACAGTGCAACATGGACTGGTTCACATGTGGTTCTGTTCACATACTGTAACAATTTGGGTCGAAACCTCTCACAGATGCATATCAAATGATCCACTTTTGTACTGTTTAGACCGGTAGATGACAGGAATGTCAATGATTAGCAAATAAGGTAGTTAACATAAAAAGATGACATACGTGTTTTCTTCTTTTATGCTTAAGTGCTGTAGAACAGGGCTTTGAAAAGTTGTGAAAATATGGTTGATGTTACTGTGTCTATATATACTGTATCCATATATTATGTGTAAAGATATATACTGCTTGAATTCCTGGTAGATACTTGAGGCAGCTCCTCTGCTGGAATCTTTTGGAAATGCCAAAACTGTGCGGAACGACAACTCCAGTCGCTTTGGAAAATACATAGAAGTCTTTCTGGAGGAGTGAGTAAAAATTATATATCTTTCTTCTTAAAAGCATTCTACTCATGTTTTTAACTTCCCTGTCTTCTCATTTGTTCAGTGGTGAGCTCAGTGGTGCCATAACCTCTCAGTATCTTCTGGAAAAGTCCCGTATTGTATTTCAGGTGAGACATGTGATTAAGTTGAAGTTGTTGCTTCCTGTGATTTTCTGTGTTTGCACCTGAGGCACATCATGGTTTCTGTCTGCTTCAGGCCAAAGATGAGAGGAACTATCACATCTTCTATGAGATGCTGGCAGGTCTTCCTTCTCAGCAGAAGCAGGGTTTCTATCTGCAAGAAGCTGAAACCTACTATTACCTCAATCAAGTAAGATGCAGCATAATGTCTGTTTTTTAATAATCCAGGTGATAATGCAGAATGAAATGTTCCACAGATAATGCTTGACATTTTCCTCCTCAGTTTATATCTCTCTCTCTCTAAACACAGGGAGGGGATTGTGGCATATCGGGAAAAAATGATACCAATGACTTCCACCGTCTACTCTCTGCCATGGAAACTCTTCGCTTCACACCAGACGACCAGTCTGCCATCTTTAGAGTGCTCTCTTCCATTCTGCACCTGGGCAACGTCTACTTTCAACGATATGAGGCAAAATACTCGTTTAAATTTTTATATATTTTTTAAAATCATGTCATCCTCTCACGGTAGCTCAAGTTCAGTGTTAAAGCAGAATATTTCTGTAGAAACTCTGAAGGGTGCAAACATATGCTACTGTCCCAAATTCTAATTCTTCCAGTTCTCATTCTTTGATAACGCCCTAAAATAATTTGGGATTTACTTTTCCAATAATCCAAGTTGACCCAAAATAAATAAATAAATAAATAAATAAATAAATAAATAAATAGATAGATAGATAGATAGATAGATAGATAGATAGATAGATAGATAGATAGATAGATAGATAGATAGATAGATAGATAGACAGACAGACAGACAGACAGACAGACAGACAGACAGACAGACAGACAGACAGACAGACAGACAGACAGACAGACAGACAGACAGACAGACAGACAGA